AATTTGCTTCTCCCTTCCAAAGTATTAGCACTGCTAATGGCAATCCTGGGGCCAGGTGGTGGAAAATGGGGAGGGTACCCAATCGGTAAGGGCAGCACCATTGTCACACAGTGTAGGCCTCCTCAAGGTAACAACAATCAGATGGCAGAAAAAGTACACAGACAGAAGATCTGAGTTGGTCATCAGCTGTGTCACTTTGAGCAAATACAATGGGTTGAATTATGTCCTCTAAAAAGATTTGTCCAGGTCCTAACCCTAGTCCCTGTGAATGTGACTTTCTTTGGAAATTCAGCCTTTGCAGATGTGATCAAGTTAAAGATCAAAGGATGAGGTGGCTCTGGATTTCTGGTGGACACTGAACTCCCAGCCCAGAGAGGGAGATGACAGACAAGGAGATGGGGATGTTAGCCATGTGAGATGGAGTCGGAGACCAAATAAATGCAGTAGGCAAAGAGTTCCAGGAGCACCAGAGGCTGGGCAAGGCAGAGAAGAATTCTCCCCTAAAGACTTTGAAGAGAGGGTGGCTCTGCTGACACCCTGACTTCAGACTGCTGGCCTCCAGAACACTGAAATAATAATTTTCTGTTTTTGTAAAGCACCAAGTTTGAAGTCATTTGTTATGGTCACCCTAGGAAACTAAGAGTGTGAGTAACTTAATTCTCCAAAACTCAGTCTTAACATCTGTAAGACGGTGATGATTGTATTTAACATTCCTTCTCTATAGAGTTATTGAGAGAATTACATTCACATGCTCCGTGAATTACAAGGGGGCTATAATAAAGCAGAAATTGCTATTATAGCAATACTGTTATTAATGTGATTGTTTAGTGACTTCTTCAAAGTGGTTATGGCCAAAAAAGGGAAAAGGAACGTGCCAGAATAAGCCCAAACTCATCGCTGATACTGAGTTAATATTTTACCAAGTCGATTAAATCTGCAAATCATACCAGAGGTAATTATCACTTTGCTTTAAGAAAATGAAATATTCCAATCTATTTTAATCATGTCTGCTCTGTGCGTGCAGGGTATTAAGAGAAGATGCATTAACGGTCCTCAGGGTATTTCTGGAGGGTTTCCGTGCTGTGGGTTGATATCCTCCAGTGCCTCTGCCATTGCCTAGATGGTATCATGGGATTCAGAATCCAAGCTTCTTTTCTTTCTAATTCATTCTTTATCTCTAAGACAATCTGTCCAATTCTTGCTCTGATTTTTAGACAAACAGTTCCAATCTTCTCTGTCAGGAGAGAAAAACCATCTTGCCATAACCAGAAGCTTCTGAGAGCACAGCGCCATCCCAAGCTGAATTCCTTTAAAGCCGGAAACAGTGTTGGCTGCTCCAAAGCAAGTCTTGAAAGATGCCCCCATTTGGCTCCACGAGAGGAACCCCACCTGGGGCTGGGGATATAGCTCAGTTGGTAGAGTGCTTGGCTTGCATGCACAAGGCCCTGGGTTCAATACCCAGAACCACCAAAAGAAAAAAAGAGAGAGAGAGAGAGAGAGAGGGGAACCCCACCTGGACTGGTGAGAGGCTATATGCCAGATGCTCCCTAAGACCATGCCTTGTCTCCCAAAAGTAGGTGACAGAAAGTAAAGGCAGGATCTTGGTATATGGCAAGATGGCCACCCTGTGATGTCACTCAGAGGGGAGGCTGTCATCTTAAAGAGGCTTATGGAAAGACCCTGAGCACACTGGACATGTTGCTGAGTGGGTAAGGGAAAGAGCATGGTTCTTTGGAAACAGCTGTCCCAGATGGTGATAATTCCAGAAATCATAACACTAATTCCTAGATTACCATGTACCAGCTCTGTGATCCTGGGATGCCTGTTCAACTTGGGCAGCCTCAAATCCCTCATTTGTAAAACTGGCTACACTGATACTGCCTTTGTGGATTTGTTCCAAGGATGAGATGGAACTTTGTACACCTTAGGTGCTTAATATGTGCCTCTTCCTTCTCATAGCCCACTGGAAGTAGGACCCTGGGCAGTAGACACTCAGTCTTTTCAGTAGAAAGGCTCAACACATCAAATTGTCAAGCAAGGAAGAGGCTGGTTGGGGGCACAGCAGAGCTCCTCCAGAGACCCTCTGTGAAAGAAATAAATATGCTAAGAAATTGCCAAGGATCTGCTTGTCCTTCTGTAGCTGCAGACCATCACTGAAGCCTCGCTCTTGTGGCTGAAGACTTTCCTGGCTGCCACAGCACATGCTGAGCCCTCTGTCCCCCAAAGCCAAAATGGTTTCTTCCTGAAAACACCAACCCATCTACACACCCCAGGCCTCAGGAGGCATCGAGCAGACCCTGGCAGGCAACATGGCTCGTGGCAGATGGTGCCATGTGGACTAATCAAGAAGTCGGACAAGAAAGTACTACCCTCTCTTCTGTTTGCCAGGAAGGGGGATTGTTTGGATTTTAATCACAGCCAAAGCTAAGAGCCAATGCACGGCCTCCTCCAGCCAAAAAGATAAATTTTCCACTCTCAACATTCAATTCTTCCTCAAAAAATAGACCCCAACCAGGGCAATAGCTCCTTGGATGGGGGGCTTCTTTATCCTCCAATATGATTTTTCCTTATTTAACAATATGACAGGAATAAAATGCCCCATGGACACGGTGGCACTCACATGCTGACTCCCACTGGAAGGAATGTCTTCATTCCCCCATAAGTTACATCCAGCTCACAGGAGTATTGATCCCAGGCAAAGATGAATGCAGAATCCCATGATCCTCTGGGAGAAATCTGACATTTTCTTTAAATATATATCCACGCAACAACTGTTTCTAAATCTCCACAAAACAGGTCACCAGGGCACCACACCATTGATTTCATATCCAACGATTTCTTAGAAAGAGCTCTGAACATTTTCTCAATAATTCAGCCAACAGCAGACTCCAGATGTCCCCCCAGAGGGACACTGTCCCTGGCCTCCCCTAGACAAAGGGATAGGCATCACTGGATAACTAGATTCAAGGCTCCCAGGAAAGAGAGCCCCCTGAGCCCCCCATCAGCTCAAGGGCAACTTAGGAAAGATCCACAACCATGCACTTTTTGAAAATTAGCATATGGAAGAGTCTTGCGTTGGAAACAGATCGAATAAAGCTGGGAGATCATAGAGCACAGGGGTCAAAACTTTGAGTCTACACTCTACCTCTTTTTTACTGGATGACCTTGAACAAGATACTTAACCTTGCTAAGCATGTCAGTGTTCTCAAATGTTAAGTGATAGTAGTTATTCCTACCATACAGAATTCTTATAAGGATTAAATTAAATAATATGCATAATTTAACAGATTACTGCTTGGCTTGGAGGAAGAGCCCCAGAAATCAGTGTCAGTGGTAGTCATGTTAATTCACCTCTGAGATCTTTTCCACCTACAAAGATGTGAATGAATTTGTTACATGGAGTATAACAGTCTGGCATCTCTGTGTCTGTGATGTGGTCTATTTTTTTTGTTGTTGTTGTTGTTGTTTATTTACTTCTCTCTCAGCTTGAGTAGGAGTTTTATTGGTGTCCATCTAGAGCTCTGCCAGAGGAGACCAAGGACTCTGATCACCATGTCTATGCTACCTCCACCAGAGGTGGGAGGGGCACAGTTCTAAGAGAGGAAGGCAACTCACAGCACATTGTCCTAAACCTGCAACACTCTTTTTTTTTTTTAAGTACTGAGGATTGAACTGAGGTGCTCTATCACTGAGCCACATCCCTAGCCCTTTTTATTTATCATTTTCGTATTAAGACAAGATTGCACTAAGTTGAAGAGGCTGATCTCAAACTTGCAATGCTCCTGTCTCAGCCTCTTGAATAGCTAGGATTACAGGCAAGTGTCAGAGCACCCAGTTCCACACTTTTAAAGAGACAACCTCTGTACATCCTATGCCTTTTGAAGCACCATATGTTCAGGTAGGCCCATGAAGACAAGGACAGTCCACAAAATTGTCATGGGATGAAAGGCTCTTGGGACACTGGACGTAAATATTCTCCTTCCTGCCAGGAGGTCTCATCCATGAGCTCAGGTCTCGCCAGTGAGAACAAGTTGAAAAACCAAGAGCCTAGGCAGAAGTCCAAGGTCATTGCTGCTTGGTAAAGACAGTAAAGCAATCCGCATTCTGTGAATTTGGGTCTGAGTCACCAAGTAAATGGGAAAACATGAGTGGTGTGTCTGGAACTCTGACCCCCTAACTTCATCCATGCCTCAATTCCTCTTCAATTTATTCCTTGATTTATTCCCTTAACATAATATGCTGTCCTTCATGCACAGAGATGACCCTGATGACTCACACATCAACATGAGTTATTTTTTCCAGCAGTGGTCACGAATTTTCACTCATCAAGCCAACATTTGTGTGCACAAAATGGCTGGCCTGTGACAGGCTGCACTGATCAGCTCTGGGATGCAGCAAGGCTGAGCTGCCCGCTCCCGGGGTGCCTAAATAAGCTGTTGGGAGATCATGAGTGGTGGAAAGGAGGTGCATTCTGAAGTCAGGCCACCCCACCGGGGCTCAAGTCCTGGGCCGGTCCTTATGCAATGCAATCGAGGTTAAACCTTGGATGCATCTCTAGGGATCAGCATTCTCACCCATGACCGGCAGAGAATAACACCTACCTCCTATGATTCTCGTGATGCTCAATCTAAGGTCACGTTAATGAAAGTGTACCTGATAATTCATAAAGTTATGCATCACAAATGTTATTTACTATGAATTGATGCTCTATTATCATTGATACTAAAGCTATTATTACTAATCACCTGTAGATCATAAAACTAAATCCTGATAGGAAATGAGATTCTGTCTTCTGAAATGGATTATGCTCAGGGCATGAGAAATGGAGCACCAGGGGTGGGGGCTTCCTGAGTTGGCTCTCCCTGAACTCTCTACATGATCCCACCAGCAGCCCTCTCAGGTGTACACACAGCCTTCTGTAGCTCCCGGTGCGTGACGCTTCTCCCCACCCAACCAGTATCACCACTTCACCGCCTGCACAGTCTCAAAACCGAACTTACAGTTCCCGAAGACTCAGCGTCTGGAAGAGCTGCCATGAGAGTGTGGTGAGGCGGTTGCTCGACAGGTTTCTGCAAGATTGGCAAAACAAAGAGGAAGTTAAAGGACAGACCTGCCATTAGTCAGGCTCTTGAGAGTGAGTTTGGTCATTTCACTGGAGCCCAGCTTTGTTTTTCCTCTTTTGCTTTGTTCAACTCTACTAAAGATATATTTGCTAATAGTTGAGGCCACAGATCAGGTTTGAATAGAATTCAGAAGACTTTTAAAAGGCAAGGTTTTACAAATCAAAGAAATAATAGGTTATTCTCCCAAACTCTCTCTCCATAATAAAAGTCCATGCCTGTTGGAAGCCACCCTCCACTAGGAGACCAGAGAGCCCTGAGCCCATGTGTGTTCTTAACAGTCACCCAGGTCAATAAACTCTTCAAGTCACCTACAACTCCTCCTAGCCCATCCCTCCCCCTGCAAACAGGCACATCCGTGAGATCAAGACATCAGCCTTTTGTTCACATGTCTGTTCTCCTCCTAATGGCTATTTAATTGTTCTCATTAGGATGTACAGGGGGAAGGAGCAGCCATTAGTCTTCTGAATAAAAGAAAAAACACGCCCACGGTTATTACTTTGCCAGGCTCAACAAACAACTTTTGATGTGATAACAGCCCTTACAGGCAGCGTTAGACACTGCTAGAACTGAAGTGGCACCTGAGGAACAATGTACTCATCTACTGATGGGGTGGATGGTGATGCTGATTCCATTTAGGTAAATACACACACACACACACACGCATGTATTTGTGTCTATTAAACATGAAAGTAATGAAAGCAAACACAGACTTTATTATAAACACACATGTGCTTACACATGCACCTATATTTAGATGACTTTTAGAGCAGATATTTATGGAAAGTCAACACAGGCTGCACTGAGGGTGAGGGTGCTGACCACTGAGGGAAAAGATGAGGTCACTCCGGAGCCCCGTGTTCAAGGTACAAATGAATGAGGAGAAGGAAGAGCATAAATCAGGTAATGGATGTAACCGATGTGGAAGAGGGAAAAAGCTACTTCAGACAGGTGCTCTCAGAAGAGCCTGCTGACAAGGTGACAAAAGACCTGAGTCAAGAGGAGAAGGAGGTGAGCACCAGGGAGAAGTGTTTGGGGCAGTAGAAATAGTAAGTGCAAGGGTCTGAGAGGAACACCAGAGCCAGGAAGGGAGTGGAGGAGTGGAGGCCGTGAGCTGGGATAACGGGAGAGGGGCTCATGTCACACCCACCTTGATGGCCACGGGACGAGACCAGATTTTACTCAAAAGAGCAGTGGGAAAGCACAGGATGGTTTGGAGTGGGGGACATGACATAATTTAATTACCATTTTTTATGGAAGACCAAGCCTGAATGTTGGCTGGCCAGTTTGAAGGTTACAACAGTGCTACAAGAAAAAGGGGTGAGGCCATTTAGTGAGGTAAGGAAGTCTACCAAGAGATCACGTGGAGACAGTGGGGTCAAGGGTTTCCTCCCTGAGACTATTACATTTAAGATGCCTGGCTGGGCGCAATGGCGCACACCTGTAATCCCACAGACTTGGAGAGCTAAGGCAGGAGGATCACAGGTTCTAATCCAGCCTGGGCAATTTAGTCTCAAAATAAAAACTAAAAAGGGCTGGGTGTATAACTCTGTAGTAGAGAGCTCCTGGGTTCAATGCCCCAGTACTACTAATAATAAGATGCCTGTTAGATATAAATTGTTTTTTTGCAGTGCTTGGACATAACCTGGGGCCCCACCTATGCTAGGCAAGTTCTCTGCCACTGAGTTACACCCCAGCCCCTATTAGATAACTAAAGCAAGAAATGGGTCTATAGCTCACAAAGGGAGACTATACAAGAACAGATACTCAAATTTAAGAAAAACCTAAGGGACAGTCCACACTTCTTTTTGATGCAGCCTATCTGTGATGAGTTGGCCAGATCTGAACTGGCTAGGTCTCAGGGACAGCCTGTGCTGGTGTCAGGAAGGTAGCCCCACCATGCAGGGGACTGGTGGGGAAGGGAAGAGGACCTTAGGTAGGTGGCTCCCACAACTAGTGTTCACTGTCTTCCTTTCCAGCGCTCCCTCTGTTCAAATTCTCCAAGACCACCACACCCAGCTCTTGAGGCGGGCCCCCATGGCCCATGTGCTTACCCACTTCCTCTCTGCAGGGCCCAGAGCGAGCCATCATGTTCTGATTCACGAAACCCCTAGTGACCATACTCCTCCTTCCTATAAGCTTCCACCACTCCCCCATCAGCCAGAAGTAAAGAACTGACCAAAGAAGAGCTGTACCCATCTGGGACGCCATCTGGGACAAGTCCCTACAGCAGTCCATCTCCTGCTTGGAGGGGTGGAGCAAGGGATCTGACAGATGTCCCCAAGAGTCACTGCCCCTACCTAGATACTAGGCTGGGAGCTCAGAATCTAAAGTCAAAGACAACAGGTTGCAATACCATTCTCTGAATCTCTGTTGCTAGAGGCCTTCACGAAGTTGTAATAAATCTTTGTGTTTGAATCATCCAGGTAGAAATCTTTTCTCCCTTGTTTGTCCTGGTTTTACTGTCTACACACAACAGCATTCTTGGCAGCAGAAGATGGACAAGCCCACACTTCCAAATCCAAAGGGAATGCTGGAAAGCAGCTCAGCCTCTGCCTTTAGCTCCCCACCCGACTCTAATGCTCCCGGGAATAAAACCCATGGTTCTGAAGCTGAGCAGCAGCATCCTTCAGGGACTCAGAAGCCAGAAACCCCAGGCTCATTGACCCGTGGGGGTCATGTCCCTGGTAAAACCCAAAAGCAAGGCGGGAGACAGGAACGATCCAGGTGAAATGGGCAGCCTTGCTCATCCCCAAGAGAGGAGCAGGCAGGGAGCCTGCCAGGAGTCGGGGAAGCCCCGGGCAGAGAGCAGGCTGCCGGCAATGTCCTCCCACAAAGGTCATGCTTTGCTACATTAGGCAGAAATGTCAAGAGAAAATTGGATTCTGAAAGAAAGAAAATAACAGACATTCTGGGCAAATAAAGAATAAGAAACAGCATTATCTCCTCCTTATTACAAGTTAAAGGAGGGTGGGGACCTGGGATACCTGATAAGGGGGAGGTGGGCTCCTGCTCTCCCAGGAATGTCCTAGCTGCACCTCCTGCCCATCCCCCCTTCATCCTCCCAATCCCACCTGGAGGAAGGTGATCCTTTGGATTCCTCCAGTACTTTGTCCAAACAGAGTGGCCACCACAGCACTCACGCACTCTGTCCACACACACACACACACACACACACACACAAAACCTTGTGCGTGTTCCCAGACACAAGGACACTGTAAGGCACAAGTCCAGGGAAGGGTACAGTGTGCGGATCCTGTGCAGCCATATACAGTGCCCTCCCAGAAACACACCCAGTCCCAGAGACAAACATACACAGAAAAGACAAGAAGGAAGGCAAACACATGTAGCACAAAACAAGAAGCATAAGCCTCTGGCCAGCCTGCCCTTCCAGACATTTATCAATTCTCATGGTGTAGGGTAAATGGGGACTCTGAGGCCCAGGGTTTCAGTAGGACTCACCACCCACTCAGAACTCACTGCCCCAATTTTCCTCCTAGCTGGCACCTCACCTGTATTCATCTGTCATCACTTATTGATGAGCTGGTTACCCTGCTCATCAGACAAGACTTTAATTAAGAAGCATTCTGCCTCTGAGCCCCACGGCCACCTCCTCCTGAGGCCTCCTCCCTAACAGATCCATTATCACCCGTCTCTGACTTTTGTTTGGGTCAGTAGCCAGTGTCCAAGCCACATGACCAATGAATTAATTTGGTGAGCAAGATTTTATGAGATGATGCATCAGACACTATCCCAAAATCAAGCTCCATGACATCGCCCCCTCTATCTCTCATCTGAGACTCCCAAACAAAGCCATTAATTTTGTCCTGCACAACTGGCGCTCTCATAGCCAGACTCTGGAGTCCAGAGGTAGTAAACGATGACGATGCAGCTACTGGGTGCTCTGGGAACATGAGCCAGACACACATATGGTGAAACGCTGGGCCCTGAGGAGTGATAGGGCTGACATAGCCCTTCCTGCATTAATCCTGTTTGGAACAGGGATCCTTCCAGGCAACCAACCTCCCCTCAGGCTGGTAGAAGGCTCAGCAAGGTAAGTGGTCCTAAAGGAGGTACCAAACTCTAGCAGGACAAAGCCCCATGACTGGGGAGGATATCACCCTAGGAATCCAACTGCCCTACAGAAGGGTCAGCAAGGTGGATGCTGTTGCCAAGAGAAACCAAGCTACCAGGCACAGTGGCGCACGCCTATAATCCCAGAGGCTTGTGAGGCTAAGACAGGAGGATCGTGAGTTTAAAACCAGCCTCAGCAATGACAAGGTACTAAGCAACTCAGAGAGACCCTGTCTCTGAATCAAATACAAAATAGGGCTGGGGATGTGGCTCAGTGGTCGAGGGCCCCTGAGTTCAATCCCCCATAGCCACACACCCACCCCCAGCAGAAAAAAAAGGAAGAGAAACCAAGAAGATGAGTTCTCCTATTCGCTCTAAACATACAACCTGGAGCGGGGAAGGGAAGGGGGACTAAGATTTGAGAAGGGGACACTAATCCCCCTCCACAAGTGATCCTGCAGATGGAAGTCTTGGTGAATTTCCTGGTTTAAGAGTGAGTCCAACAGTTGGAAACACCTCCTTTTCTATTGGCAGAGATAGGCCCGGTGGGAAGGTATTATTAGGATTCAAATGTGGGAGGGATTGTTGGGGGTAGGTGCCCCAAATCCCTGTGCTATTACACCAGACCACCCCACCCAGGCACTATTCATCCAGCATTTCACCGGATCATGTCGGCTCCACAGACCTTTTGATAATGCTCCCACCAACGCCTGCAGGTTCACTCCACCTCTGCACCTCCCCAGCCCCTACTTGGGCTTTGTCTTCTGTTTTTTATGAGATTGTAAAACATGATGGTGATTTGTTGCAGGTTGAATTGTGCCCCTGTCCCCAAATTTATATGTTGACATCCTCACTCCCCATACTTTAGAATGTTT